TCTGGTTCTGCTGGCGGCTCCGCTGGTGGCTCTACTAGCGGCTCGGCCGGCAGCGAGACAGGTGCCTCCCCTACTGGCCATGGCTCTGGTTCTGGATCTGCTGGCGGCTCCGCTGGTGGAAGCGCAGGCGGCTCTGGCTCTAGCTCCGGCTCCGGCTCGACCGGAGCTCCTGGCTCTGGCTCTGGTGGTATCAGCATCGGCACGACTGGCAGCGGCGGCGCCTCTGCCTCTGCCTCTGCTTCTGCCTCTGCCTCTGCCTCCGCCAGTGCTAGCGCCTCGGCTGGTGCCTCTGCGCCTGGTGGATCGGGCTCTGACAACGGCGACGACTACGGTGACAGTGGCTGCGAGAAGTGCGGTGAGGACTCGGGTGATGACTCGTCCAAGGGCGGTGATGACTCCGAGGACTGCGATGAGTAGGAGTGAAAAGACAACGTCCCTCCTGTCCTGCTGTACTTTTCTAATACCTGTCTGACTGTACGGTATCTGTGTCTGTGTCTATATCTGTGCGCCTCCAATTATCATTGGAGCCTGCGCCCCTTTTTGCCTGTCTCTCACTTTCATGTAATACCGAATGTGTCACTCCTTATGATCAAAATCAGCGATAGAGCTGCATAATGAAGCTATTCAAGCAATCTGTTTGCAATATTCGAATTTTCTTCCCGAGACAGTTCCCGGATCTAGAAACATGGTATGGTAATCCATGAGTAGTCTTGCATGCCGGATCGCATGTCTTTGGAGTAATCAAACCGTAGTGTTGACGCCAAGCGCCAGCATAACGTTATGCTTGACTACTTGATCATTAATCATGATTACCTCAACGTTAATCTCTAGAATAAATACTTGGTCTTATTCAAACAGTTAATCAGACAAAAATCACGACCATTCAAACTCACAATCATCTCTCGTGTGCATTATGGCAATCTTCCAAGGCATCTCCCTCCACATGACGGTCTACATTGACCCCGCGAATCTTCCTACATTCTGGAAAGCTTTCAAGCCAGTATACGAGCATGTCATCGCAGAGCCTGAATGCACGTTCTTCGAGGTCTATCAAGACCCTGAGAATCCGGGGACAATCACATGGGTGGAAAACTGGTAGGTGGTCTGTCCATGATATGCAAGACCATAGCTGACTGGGGCAGGTCAAAACCAATGGAATGGATCTTTGAGGTATGTTTAGTTGGTCATAAGGAGGAAAAGTTGCAGAATCTGACATTGGCTAGGTCCAAGCCAAAAAGCCATACTATAAGGATTATTTTGCGACAACGGAGCCGTTGTACCTCAAGCCCCGAGAGGTCAAGGTGCTGAATCGTGTTGGAGCGCCGTATGTTGCAGTTAAAACGGAGAATGGGGGGTTATAATATACGCACTTCATTATGTATATTGAGGGGAGATATGAGAGTCAAACTGAATCTACATAATATCTATCTTTGGGAACAACCTATTCCACTTAACTGGATGGAACATATCCATGGCTTCAGAATGATTGTCCGTCCCTCTCGTATCAATTCACTCAAATAATGCCACGGCATAAAACGATGCATCGCGAATTGCTATGGTATATAGCCTCAATAGCTGCCCCATGCCATTACAGTACTTGGAACAATGGGCCGCCCAAGATGTCAAGAAAATATCCTGGTCTTTGAGGCGAACGACATATTTATTTTCAGGTCGAACAAGTCAGAAATAGCATGTAGACCTAGCTATCACTTTTGCCGACTAGTTTCTCTCGACAGTCGACAATCGGCTAAAGTTTCATGCATCGTCACGGCTGGCGGCAAATATAGGCTATTCTGGGTCATGTCGATGGCTATTATGTAGGTTAATTCCACTGTTCAGCCGTCGTTTATCCGTGAAAGTATATCCGGGGTAACTTCATCTCCCCCGCATTCTATAGCTCTTGTGATGCTTATTCTGAGACACGCATTAAGCTAATGTCCAGATGTTTCTTTGTAGTGCTCGAGCCTATCCTTGGCAATCAATAAGCTTAAATGGGAACCAGGGAATGTGGTTGATCCTGTATAATGTCAAATCTGAGAGACCATCTGCGACGCAGCAATCTTCCTGTTTTGTCTGCACTCATCCTGAGACATAGAATGCTCCAGGCGATTCATATCTCGGCGAAACCCTGAGACAATTCTGCCGATCACTCCTTCAAGCCAGTTATAATATCTAACGGCCCACCGACAAAAGTGGGTGTCCATCACAACATGAAACGGAACAATTAACCTGAAATCATGAGATTCACCTTGACACGCGGATTCGTAATCCTTCATCGGCTGAAATCCGCTGAAGCGATGAATACTTAAGCCATGAATTCTCCACCAGGACCTTCTCTTCTCCTCGCCATCGAAGCAATCAAGCCATCATTGCAATATGGTCCCCTTCTCTTCTCTCGCTCTTGCTCTCTCCACCGTTGCTGGTGTGCTGGCTGTGCCAGGCTCGGAGAAATACGTCGAGCTAGCCAAACGTCAGATCACCACCTCTCAGACTGGCACCAACAACGGCTACTACTACTCCTTCTGGACCGACGGCGGCGGTGAGGTGACCTACACCAACGGCAACGGCGGCCAGTACAGCGTCGACTGGACCAACTGCGGCAACTTCGTCGCTGGAAAGGGTTGGAACCCAGCCAATGCCGAGTAAGCGTTCTTCTCATCTCTGCTTCAATGTCCATTACTGATGAATTCAGAACGGTCACCTACAGCGGCACCTGGAAGCCCAGCGGAAACAGCTACCTGTCCGTGTACGGCTGGACCACCAGCCCACTGGTCGAATACTACATCGTGGAGAGCTACGGCTCGTATAACCCCTCCACTGGAGCCACCCTTCTCGGCACCGTCGAGAGCGACGGCGGCACCTACAACATCTACAAGACGACCCGGACGAATGCGCCGTCCATTCAAGGAACCGCGACCTTCAACCAGTACTGGTCTGTTCGGACTTCGAACCGGGTGGGCGGGACTGTGACCACGAAGAACCACTTCAATGCATGGGCCAAGGCGGGTCTGGAGTTGGGAACCTTCAACTACATGATTGTTGCGACGGAGGGATACAAGAGCAGCGGGTCTGCTTCTATCACTGTTTCTTAGCTGTCGCTTTGATCTTTCTCTTGTCTCGTGAAGTCAATCAGAAAACTGATTCACTGTCATGGTACTTGGTGGGTATAGCTAGTTTGTCCATAGTCTTGACTGTCGCTCTTTAATTCAGATATTCTGCGGGGGATCATTATCGATTGGAGATGGATGCCTCGAATACTGGCTTTCTTGGCTAATATGATCACATTCTACTATATTAACTAGGTAAGACAAGCCACAAAGCTTCTTTCAGCCGTAGCTTCTACCAGAGCAGTGTCCTTTAGTTCGCTCTAATACCCTTGTATCGAGGGTTCAATAATTCAGTCTGTAATATAGCACCATTTACCTCACATGTGATATTATCCTCAAGCCAGTCTTATTCCAGGCAACATCTTCCCCGGGACGAGGCCCGCATTCGGGAACCTTTACCCCGAGGGCCCAAAGATGTACATGTGCACTATGACAGCCGTCTCCAGATACATCTCTATCTCCTAAAGCAAAACGAAGAAAGATTGCCATGATTGTCATCCGCCTTGGCCTGACTGTAGGGAATCCTCACTGCCGTCGGGGTAATATTCCACCAAGGGACTGGTCAGATATAGATCCCAGGCCTTGTCCGCGAGATTCGATATGATCCATTCAAGACTACTGATTATACACGAGGCTCTACAGAATGCGACTCTGGAAACACAACTTCGGAGGCAAGGCCTTGATTACAGCCATCACCATGGCATCCTGCCAGGCCTTCCTCCTATTAGGATTCGACCATAGTCTCCTCTTCTTTTCCGCCCAAACTCACCCTGACAACAGCAGGAGTCATGTCCGGTATAATCGGCGCACAGAACCGCTTCGGCCGGGACTTCAACAACCCCGACGCCGCAATGCAGGGCAACATCACCGCGGTGTATGATATCGGCTGCGTGGTAAGCTCGATAGTCTGCTACTTCATCGGGGAGCGGTTCGGACGACGCACGATGCTCATGGCCGGCGGGGCGATCATGGTGATAGGGACGGTGATCCTCGGGTCGTCGTACACGATTGCGCAGCTTATTGCCGGAAGGATCATCACGGGGTTCGGGAACGGGATGAACTCGTCGACGGCGCCGGTGTACCAGAGCGAATGCTCGCCGGCGGGGATCCGGGGGGCGCTGCTGACGCTCCAGGGGACGGTTACGATTCTGGGAGTGGTGATTGCCAATTGGTAGGTTTCCCGTCTCTTTAGATGAAGATATTAACGAGGTGATAGGATGGACTACGGAACCAGCTTCACCGAGTCCTCGTTCCAATGGCGCTTCCCCCTCTCCTTCCAGTCCGTCTTCGCCGTCTGCCTCATCCTCCAGATCATCGGCCTCCCCGAGACCCCCCGCTGGCTAGTCCAGCACGACCGGCACGAGGAGGCGCGCGCCGTTATCGCCACGATAGAAGACAAGCCGCTCGCCGATGAGACCGTCAGCAGAACCCTCCTCGACATTCAAACCGGCCTCGAGGGAGAACAGCGCGGCGGCCCCTTCAAGTTCGCCGAGCTCTTCACCTGCGGCGAGACACAGAACCTCCGCCGCCTGCTCCTCACCATCTCCATCGAGCTGGGCCAGCAGTTCACCGGCTCCAACATGATTAACTACTACGCCCCCGTCCTCTTCCAGGAGAACATGCACATGAGCCGCAACCTGGCGCTCGTGCTCAGGGCGCCGCGCAGTGCACCTATCTCGTCGGCAGTGCCATCCCCGTTCTCCTGATGGACCGCTTCGGCCGCCGCACGCTGCTGATGGTATGCTCCGCGGGCCTCTGTCTGTGTTTCGCGATGGTTTCGATTCTCCTCTCGCTGGAGCATGTGGGCGCGGCGTATGGTGCCACGGCGTTTATTTTTGTCTTCCAGTTGTTCTATGGCGTCGACTGGTTGCCTGTGCCGTGGTTCTATCCGGCGGAGATCAATACCACGCGGGTGCGCACGAAGATGCAGGCGATTGCGTCCGGGTGGAACTGGATGGCTGTTTTTGCGGTGGTGAAGATTACGCCGATTGCGTTTGGTAGGCCACCTGCATGTTCCTGTCCTTGTATCTAAATACTGACGGAACAGCGAACATTGGATGGAAAACATTCATTATCTTTGCGGTGCTGAATGCTGCCTTCATCCCCATCGTCTACTGCTTCTATCCCGAAACTAAGGGGCTGGAACTGGAGGATATCCCGCTACTCTTTGCCAAGGGGGAGTTACAGGGGGTGTCTTGACGTCCAAGGGAGGCCGAACTGTGACGCCGGGGCAGCATGCTCGAGATGTTCAGGGAGACAGGAAGGTGGAAGTGCAGGAGATTGAAACGGCAGCTTGATTAGTTCAATCTCAATAGATATAGAGTAGATGGCAATACGGTTACATTCTCAATCGCAGTCGCAATCGCAGACGAGACAGACATATGAAAAACTTGAATCGACATCACATATCATGAACAGTCGGTTCAGGCTCCGGATCCGGCCGAGCACTCTTTGTGGTCTTTGTACTCTTCGACTCCTGCTTCTTCACCTCGAATTGGACATCGCCCCGATCGGCCTTGACCGATGCCTCGCTTAGTGTCGAGTCAATCTCCTCCCACTTCTCGTGGCCCTTGTGGTCTTTCTCCTTGATGATGGGGGGAAGTTCAAAGTTGTCGGGGTATTGGGGCGGGATGTAGACTACATTACCATGGATTAGCGGTGATACGCTTTCTGGCTGATGAGAGACTTGCATTTATCGCCCTTGTTGGAATGGTATTCAGGCGGATGATAGGCTCTGAGGAGGGGGAGGGGTCTGAAGCGGACGGAGGTCCGGATAATAGTGGTGATGGGTCTCAGGGACATGATATGGGACTGTGTGTTCACTAGAGTGTTATCAATTCTTGATACTCATAATGTCGAAAAGGCTAGAGGTTGGCATCTTCTTTTATATATCTCGATCAATCATGATGATGTCAGGACACTGGTGTACGAATCCATCATTGGTTCCCAAGTTGTAAGCTCAAGGTATCCATGTATACAATAACCTAAAGATCTCCGCAGCTGTCATGCCACAGCTCAGTGGCGAATACTGCTACACCCACCACCTACCTACCCAGCTAGCTAACTCTACCTTAGGAATTCCCAGCAGCCAACCAATCCACAACCTCCCTCGTACTCATCACCTCCGCAAACTCCCCTCTAAGACTCTCCACCGAAACCGCATGCACCGTCTCCGCATCAATCCCGCCCTTGGCCCACGTCGCCGTCGCATCGCTAACAAGCACCACAACCCCTTGATCCACCGGCTTCACAGTCTGCTTCCCATCCGCCAACACCTCCGGCGGTCCCTCCGGATAAACATCCACAACCCCCAAATTCGCCGCCATCCGCACCGTCGTCGACACACAATGATCCGTCGTCAGCCCCGCAAACAGCACCTGCCTAATCCCTTTGTCGCGGAGATACGCCTCCAGCCTCGTCCCGATAAAACACGAGTTGACGTTCTTCCAGAAAACAGGCTCTGAATTGTCCGCGGCAGGCTGCGCGAAGTCCAGCGGGTGGGCGCCTTTGCTTGGGTCGGCGGGGTGGAGCGGGCTGGTTGCGGAGGTGGAGGAGTGGAAGACGTGGATGATTTCTAGCGGGAGGGCGGGGTTGGTTCGTCGGGCTGTGCGGAAGGCATTGAGGAGAGACTGTAGGTTGGTTTCGTAGTTGGGGTTGGAGCGCGAGGTGCCCCAGTAGGTTGGGTGGGAGAAGGCCGCTTGGTTGTCGATTAGGACGAGGGCGGTCGGGAGGGAGAGGTTGAGCATTTTGATAGGGATTGTAGTTATTAAATTGGAGTAAATGTAGGTTGCAATTGCAGTTGCAATTGGCATTGGATAGTTACTTTATATACTGGTATGTCCATGACTCAAGTACCTAGGAAGCAATGAATTGTCAGCAGCGAAATGGACTGAATTGAATGATTTGATTGGCTATAATAAAACTTGGCGCTGTCATATATTCCAACAGCCAATCAGATTTGCGTAGATGGATCAGCCCATATCGACTGTTTCTGGGAGGATGTCGTATCAGAGGTCTACAAATGCGGACACATGCGAGATATAACAATCTACTGCATCTACAAAAGTCTTCATACGCCTCCACAGCCCTCATGTAGATCCAGAATGTGAAAGCGGAGGTGATTGTGTTGGGGGAAGGGCACATGTCATCGTGTGAAGTTTAGGTATCGAATGCAAACATATTATATACAGAATGTACAACACTCACTCATGAGTCGTAGACTGAAGCCGGATCTGCTCCTCGGGCAGCCCCTCCTCGCTCGGAACATGCTGATATGACTTCCTGCGCGGTCGATGGAGCACCATATACACACACGCTGCAATCCCAGCGACGAAACACAGGACCAGCACAGCCGTCAACAGAGCTCCAAAGTCCCGGACCAGTTCATACGTCTCGTGCGCCATCCGGAGGGCCTCCTCCGCAGTCGTGTCGACAGGAGTGATACTGCTGTTACCGCTTGTATCTGCTTCATCGACGCCAGCAGGGACGGTCGTGCCTTGCTGGTCGGCTTCTTTTTGCGAGTACAAAGTGTACGGGTCGGCAGGATGCAGTTCTGCCACCTCGCCCTTAAACCCGGCTGCGGCCCAGTCGCCTGGCACGCGGCTCCGATGAACCCGCGAGACCCCCAGGACATTGCCGGCGTGATCAACCGCCTCGGCGGAGACCCAGTCCAGGTATCCGTGGGCGGTATAAATGGTCTCAAAATTCGTTTTGGTGGTGTTTCCAATGAGGACCGGCGGGGCGTTGGCTGCGGCGCGCGCGTAAAATTTCCAGCGCGCAACGTCGGTGGCCCCGTTCCAGCTGACATAAAACGTCGTCGCGAGATCGGATGCGTCTGTCCCGGCAACTGAGGCGACGAGGTCAGGAGGCGTGTTGGGCCGGCCGGTGAACTCGAACTTATAGGCACGGTAGGTCGAGAAGCGAGTCGAGTTAAACATCGCACTGAGCAGCACCTCGCCTTCGGGCGCAAACTCGGTGATGTACCCACGTTCACTCCAGCCGACAAAAATGTTGTTGTTGGGCAGCAGCTGCGCGTTCCCACGCAGCCGGGTCAGCCCCCCGTCAGGGCGATTGTAGCGCCGGATGACCTTGGCCGTCATGGGTTGTACGCCGGTGTCGAGCGCCACAATCAGAGCGCAGGAAACGGGCTCGTCATTTGTATCCTCGTCGGAGGCGTTGTTGAGAAAGGAGATGATGTGGTGAGTGCCGTCGGACTCGACGAATTTGATGTCATGCTGCTTGGAAAAGGTAAAATCCTGCACAAAGTCGCTCTGCTGGCCTCCGAGCCGCCACAGAATGCGTCCGTCCACCCCCGAGACCATGTAGATGGTGTTGGTGAAGCGAAAGGACACAATGTAGTCTCCCGCATCATTCATGTCGACCGAGTTCGCATGCACATAGTCCCAGCCGGGAGGCCCTTCCAGCGGCGAGTCGGGGCCATAGTGGACCGACTCGTGTAAGGGAACCTGGCCGAGGGAGTCCCATTCGAACAAGACGTCCGCGGTGTTGATATCCAGCCGCACGAATCCACCGCTCAGGATTGACGTTCGCTCTTCAGGGCGCCCAAAATCCTCCAGACTGATCTCTTGCTCTCGATATGTCATCGCCAGGCCAGTTTTGCCGTCATCAAGAATATTGAATTCGTGAATATCAAAGGAGCCCAAATCTGGACGAAAGGGGAGCACGTTTTCAATCTCATAGTTGTTTTTCAGAATCACACCATGGCCCTGGTCTTCATAGTCCCATGAGTGCTGCCAAACCAACGATAGATGCGGCTGATCCCCGATACTGTAGACCGCTTTAAAATCAAAAACGTTCCGATTATCGAACATGGGCGATCCGGCCCAGATGAGAGTGCCGTCGCCATCGTAGATATACGGTCCAACTTGATATTGTTCGAATCGATGGGTCGGCGCTTCGGGCTCGATCTGACCATAGGGAGCGACGAACCAATAGCCAGGACTCACACGGTCGCGATCCTGATAGTGGACGTCGAATTTCAAGGCTCGTATTTGAGGAAGCTGGGGGTGGCGGATCTCGTATTAGCACGGTGATCGATCTCTCGCAGCGCTCTGTTAGGCGGAGAAAAAGAAAGAAACATAAGTAGCCTACCGTCACAAAGGACATGAGATCCTCATCATGCTGCTGTGCGGCCACATTATGCAGGAAGAGCGGCAACAATAATGCTAAGGCCCATCGCAGCATTGTGAGAGACTTGAAAGTCGAGGGGAAAGAAAAAGACACTGGGAGTGTCAATTAATGTTGCGACAGAGTGATAAGACAAGAAAATGCGGGTCAGATCCATCACGGCCTGTCAGACTAATACAGTCGTAAGGCTGTATAATTTCAAAAAGGGGAAATGAGGAGCCGTTGATCAGGTACGTTGCCGAGACTGCTTCAGTCTTCAGTAAGCTCGTTTCCAGATCATTATTGGACTCAGGCCAGGATTGCTGGAGGATGATCTCGCCGCTCGTGCGCCCACAGATACCCACGAGATGACGAGGCCTTGTCAGATCATTCTTGGCGTTTCACTGTTTGGCCTCGTCGGACTCAGATAGATACTCCTCTGTAGAACGGACTGTTCGGAAAGGACGGATACAACGGAGCACAGAGGTTTGTTTGATTGATCATTGAGGAAATATTTAGCGATTTCCCCTCAGTGCAGGCAAACCAGAGTGGATAACCATCGTTTTGTTGACTCCGTTGACAACTTGACACTAAGCAAAGACACAAGATGAACTACCGAACAGAGTCTAAGCGATAATAGCAGCTTCTTGGCAGACAGGTTTCTGCTTTTCTGATTGGCTGGAACAGAAGACTTTCCACAGGCACGGAGGCACGTGGCCAATCAGGTGACTTTGCTTACGTTGTGGGGGGGACAAGTCCACGAATGCTCGCCCATAGATTTGAGCCGTCACGACGGCTGCAGAATTAGACAGCTTCATCATTGTTTCGAGATTACTCAGGAATCATTGACGTGAGGACGTCACCCATTCTGGGATGCTCCTTCAGGTGATTTTGATTCGGAATTTCTTTCTGAGTTATGAGAGGTCGAGGACATTGTTCTCCGTACCCTCGAGCATCATTATGCATGAATCCCTCGGCCAATGCAGGAATCTGAAGGAAGAATCTAGCTAGTCTATCGTACAGTATAAGGGAATCTAGGCCAATCCCATACAAGCAGCATAATACGTCACCGTGGCCGGCCAATCCGAGAAAATCCCCTTGACGCCCACCTTTCGTGCCAACGCATCCACAATGCGATACATATCCCCGTCCCCGGTGATCGTCGACTTGACGGACTGGATATAGTACTCTCCCTTGGTGGCCGCGGCCTTCAGGGGCCCCGACCGCTCCAGCGACCAGGTAATGATATCCAGCCCGGCTTTCTTCGCCGCAACCGCATACGCCGACGGCACGATCTCTCCGTCCGCGGTGGTATTCAGCAGCGCAAAGATGGGCGGCGCCATGATCTTCACGCCCTTCTTAGCGAGCTCCGCCATTCCGTCCACAGCCTGCTGGTATCCAGCCGCGGTGTCGACGCGCTCATCGAGGTAGATCGCCTGCTTGCCGAACGCGGGCTCATGCTGGAGCCAGTAGAAGATGTCGTCCGGTAGGAAGGACTGCGCCCAGACGCGCGAGGGGTGGATGCCGTGCGCCTTGTAGTCGTCGATGAGCTGCTGCGCGTACATCGCCTGCGTGTAGTTGCCGCCAAACGGCATGGCCACCTGCGGCGTCTTCAGCTCCGGTGTGAACTGCAGGCCTAGACGGTCCACGAGCTCGATGTACTCGTTATGCTCTACCAGCGTGCCGCATGTCGCGTATAGATCCGTGCGCCACGCCGGCGTGCCGTGCTGATAGTCCTCGGGCGTGGTAGCGGAGGCGTTGTACCCGTCCATCTTAGCGCAGAGGGTCTTGAACTCGGCGAGGGTGATGTCGGAGGTGCAGCACTTGGCTGTCGCGGACTTGCCGTTCGCGGCGGGCTGGAACGGGACGCTGCATTTTGCTGCTAGACTCGGGATGGTGAGGATGTTGGTCGTCGTGTGCAGATCGCACTGCGAGTGGCGGCAGACGAGCTGGCGGTCAGAGGTGAACGCGACGTCGCATTCGACGATGCCTGCACCCATGCGCGCGGCGGCGAGCATGCCCTCGCGAGTGTGTTCGGGGAACTCGAGCGGACCGCCGCGGTGGGAGATAGAGAATGCGGGCGCGTGCTTGATGCGCTTCTCCGAGCAGGACTGAAGTTTCTTTTTCAGCGGGCTGTCGGCCATTGCGTCGACCAGGTAGTACGGACGAGGTCCGACCTGGATGTTAGTGACTGCTGGACGAGAGTCCTGACCATTGCCGCGGGGGTTGAACGAGGGTGCTGCTGCGGCTAAGCCAGCAGTGAGGACCAGAGATGTGAGATGCATTGTGCTGATATTTTGCACTTGCACTTGTGGGCAGGAGTTGAACTATGCGTATTCCTCCTCCAACCGGGGTACATAGCGGGTCACATAGCGCTTTTATAGCTCTGAGATCAAGTATTCACTGATAGCCATAGATACCTCCCAGCCTCCTCCATGATGACATGCGCACATAGGACCATTCTCTTCCGAGTTCGCATGGCAGCGATCTACCCCCCTGCATGGCAATTTCCGCTGCTAAGGCTCACTGACCCGTGCACAAAGCATAACATCTAACTTGCCCAAAATTCTCTCGCTGCTCCAATTTTTCTCCGCTTTGAAAGCAACGCTGGTTCTTGGCGCGCTTGGCATTGATGCCTTCTCGGCACATGTATCCAGCACTGATGGTGATTGAGTCTCCCGTATTGGCCTCAGTGAATAGATCGGAATGATCCCATCAGTGGCTTGCCGCCAGTTCCTCTCGCTGGAATTGTCAAAGACTGGAAGTATAGTTGTCTCCAGTTAATTCCCTATTTGATCCTTGGCAGACGCCCACGTGGGACATGCATCGATCAGCATGGAGCAGGGTGAGCGTTCTCTGGAACGTTAGAGCTGATCGTAAAGACCCGATGGACTAAATAATTCACGAGTAGCGGCAGAATCCTAGTAGAAGAAGTACATGTAGACCAGGACCGTCGTATTGCAATTGAGCCTCGGAATAGTGGCTCGATTCCAGGGCAAGAGAATGAAAGTTTTTCATCAAGAAAAAAGAGCAAGATACAAGATAAAAGTGACATATCAACATATACTATGTACAATCCGAATGCAATCACGCTCAAGCAGTAGGTATCAGATAAAACTCGAAATTTTTGCTTCACCACAGCGCTACCACAGCAATAAATCACAGCATGGGCTTGACGTTGTCTGCAACCTTGAATGGAGCTTCCGTCTTGCTCCGGACCTCTTCGACAGTAACCCCATCAGCAAGCTCGACCAATGTCAATCCGTCAGTAAAGTCGACATCAAAGACACAAAGCTCGGTGATGATCCGGCTGACGCAGGTCTTGCCGGTTAGAGGGAACTCGCACTGCTTGACGATCTTGGGGTTGCCCTTCTTATCCGTGTGTTCCATAGTCACCACCACCTTGGTGGCGGAGGGATTGGAGACCAGGTCCATTGCACCTCCGAAGCCCTTGATCTTACCGGGGAGCATCCCTACGACACATCAATCAGTCACGGTACGTAATGAGGGAAGAAGGGGGAACTCACAGTTGGCCAGGTCACCACGGGCGCTCACCTGCATCGCACCCAGAATGGTCAGGTCAATGCGTCCAGAACGGATCATACCAAACGACTCATCACTGCCAAAGACGGCCGCGCCCGGAATGAGGGTGACGGTCTCCTTGCCGGCGTTGATCAAGTCCGCGTCCTCCTGGCCCTTCTTAGGGTAAGGGCCCAGACCGAGAATACCGTTCTCCGACTGAAGCATCACTTCCACCGAGGGATCGACAAAGTTAGGCGCCAGCATGGGCATGCCAATACCCAGGTTAGCATACATGCCGTTCTTGAATTCCTTGGCGGCACGGCGGACGATGCGCTCCCGCTTCGCGGCCGTGTCGCCCTTGCCCAGGGCGGCAGTGTCGTCGCCCTCCTCCTTGGCAAAGGTGTACTTCTCGATGTTCTTCGGCGCCGTGCTCTGGACGACGCGCTTGACATAAATACCTGGCAGGTGGATGGCAGCTGGCTCGATCTCGCCCGGTTCAACAATGTGCTCGGCCTCGACGATGGTCATCTTGGCGTTGCGGCCCATCGCCCCGTTGAAGTTGGCCGCGGCGTACCGGAACTGGCAGTTACCCAGTTTATCCGCTTTCCACGCCTTGACAAAGGCATAGTCACCCTTGATCGCCTCTTCCATCACATAGCTCTTGCCGTCGAAGACCTTGACGTCCCGCGGCTGACTGTACTGAGCCACCGTGCCGTCGGGGTTATGCTTGAGCGGCAGCTCGCCGGTCTGGACGACCGTTCCACAGGCCGCTGGGGTGAAGAAGGCTGGGATTCCGGCGCCACCAGCACGGCACCGTTCGGCCAGCGTGCCCTGCGGCGTCAGCTCCAGCTCGATCTCGCCGGTCAGATACATCCGCTCAAAGGTCTTGTTCTCTCCAACGTAGCTGGCGATCATTTTCTTGATCTGCTTCGACTGGAGGAGCAGGCCCAAGCCAGCTCCATCAACCCCCGCGTTATTGCTGACAACGGTCAAGCCTGTGATCGAGGGGTTGGCGCGCACGGCGCCGATCAGTGTGTCGGGCACACCGGACAGACCGAATCCTCCGGCAAGAATGGTAGAGTTGGGCTTTATATCCTTGACTGCTTCCTCGGCAGAAGCCACCACCTTGTTGATCTCATTCCGGCGAAGGCTGCTCGAGAATGCTCGTGCGAGGAATCGTTGGTGCTAGAGAGCAGTTGTTAGTCTGCCATATCATTCCAATAATTGTGCCAAATACCTTTGCAGGGTTGGCAGAGAATTGCCGCGCAAGGCGCAGACACGTCGCTACTTGTGAAGGCATTATGAAGGGAGTGTATAAAGAGGAAGTAAATTACAGCTCGAGCTGCAACAGTCCGCGCTCGTTAAGAATGCTGGTTCTCGATCACAAATTAAGAAAATCCTTAGGGATTAGAAAAGACAAAGACTAGGAGAGGAGATTATGAGATGCCTCCACGTCAAGATTGAGGCGATGCGGAGAAATATAAGAAGCTGGAAACGAGCGGCCATTCGCGGAGTTGCGGAAAGTCAGCCGCGTCTGCCGTCCTTCCCCGGAAATA